CCTGGGCAGATTGTTAGAGCCACAAATAGTTACATGGAAAACCTGAGCTATGACAAGGGTTAGGGACCAGCCATGTGTGGGCATGAGAAACCTGCAGTATTTCTGGCTGTCCAGGCTCAAACAAGAGCTATTAGTTATGTCCTGTCACACATGGAGTTGTTTACAACAAACACCAAGTCAAGTGAATACAAGAGGCCACAGACTGGGAAAATAAAAGTTCATATAAAGATAGTTTCTTCAACCTACTTCCAAAAAGCCACTGATGTTTTTTTTTCCCCAGCACTCCTCTGACCTGCTTACCTATCACTGCGTTGGAGATGGTAATTTTTAACCACATCCTGTCCCGAATTTCGAGGCCTGAGTCTGGTAGCTGCATAACCTTGACAATAGTAGCCATGTCACTCTTCACAGTTAAGGGAGATTCTTCTAATTCTAAAAGGAAGAAAGGTTACATGCTTCTTTGAAATGAACCAAGTCTGAAAAGAACCTCTCAGCTCCCAGTTTGGATGAAACGTTTCAAGATACAGCTTTACCAACACATGCCAAAAAAGACACAAAGGTTCCCAAATGCACCCTCATCACTGGCATAAATTACAGCATTTGCACCAATTCTTCAGAAGTTGTGCTCAGTACAACCACTTTAGTCACTGAGATGCCAAGTCCCTGTGTCTTGACTTCACAAACCAGCTCTAGATCAGCGCTGCACTCTTTCAGTCCATACTGCACTGAGATTTGAAAAGGAAACTCAAGGTTTCTATGACCATTGCTTTACAATTTGCCATGAACAGCCCCTACCCACCCAACAGTTCAGTGCACTGTATGCAGAACTCTGGAGAACAAGGTTTTTTGGCTTGTTCTTTAACTTTTGGTTTAATTGTCAGGAATAATACCCATCTGCACAGAGAAAGATGACGACCGTGTCTCAATCAATGTCCATTTGTTTTTTTTAAGATCTGGACATCAGTATAATTGGGGAGAATTGAAATTAGAAAAGAAAGCTTCCATCATCAGGATAAAGGCTAGTGGTTTCCTTCAAAAAAAACCTTCCCAGGATCCCAAATGATGGCAGTTGTACAAGTTAACAAGTCACTTAACCCAGCATTACTTTGCCCTGCATCTTTTTTTTGCTTTTCACTTAAAAACCTGCTACTCCCAAATGCCTGGGCAGCCGTCCCCGCTCCGTTCGTATTTCACACACTCTGAGGGGGAGAGTTGGTTCACCAGAGGCTTCATACTTTCCTGATCAATTTTTATAGAAAATCCAGAACAACAGGGCTGAGACTCACCCTGCTGCACCG